GCTTCCGAGACCTCTGTAGCATCACGAGCAGAAGGAAGATGGTGAAAGTCAGCTGGGCATGGCAGGGCCTGTGGCGTGCAGGGCAGTGAGAGTGGCTCTGGTGTGGCATGCAGCTGGTTGGCTGCAACATGGGGTTTGAAACTGCGTTCCCCTGCAGCGAAAGGAGTGAAATAGAGGCTTGGTGTGGTGGTGCCTGGCTGAAACTGCTGAAGGCACTCTGATTCAATCCCAGCACTACTGCTGCTTCAAAGGAGAGCTGCTGCAGAGTGGGAAATAAAGCAGAGATGGAGGAGAGATAGGCTGGCAGGGAAGCTGAAATGCCCCTGCAGTTGTAACTATGGGCAGGCTGCCCCCAAGGACCTGAATTTTGATCACAGGACACATGCATGTAATTTAGGGAATGGTGAGTACCATTTATTCAATCCTGCCTTAACTTCAAATAGTTGCTAAATGTATGATTGTTAAACAAGGACTAGCTGTAGTTCTTGCTTTTCATTGACACATAATGCCCAATGAATAAAGATACTGTTCTTTTGATGAAGTAGACCAGACATTTGAATAAAACAATCAAATATGCTTGCCTTATTCTATTGACATTAGAAGCCTATGTGGCTTATTGGTATGGTTCCTTATGTTTAAATACAGAACAATATTTTAAAGTTTGCATATTTTTCCTTTTTTAAAAATTATGGTTGCTATAAAATCATCCAAATGTATTGTTGTGCTCATTCTACTTGAAGAAGTTTAGTGCTTATTGGTCTTACTAACATAACTGGAACATTAAAATGCAAAACAAAAAAAATGCTGCACTTTTGCCTACAATTGAACAAATGAAACTTTCTAGTTAATTTTCTTTTCTTTACAGTGGCAAATTTGGATTATGGTTAGATGCTGATTTATATCATGGTCGGAGCAACTCTTGCAACACATTCAACAATGATATCCTGTCCAAAAAAGAAGACTTTGTTGTACAGGATCTAGAAGTATGGACTTTTGAATGATCTTGTTGCCTTAAAAAAATGGACTTTGCTTTCCTGAGCACCCAAAGGACATCAAAAAGTGGAATGTAATTGCTTTGCCATAGAATAGGCCTGGAAGACCGGCTGATCCGATGGTTATATAAGAAGCAAAAATGGGAGATATTTGTTTATACTAAAAAAGGCAACTTAATTAATAACTTATTCTTGTCCTGCTACCATTTCTGCAGTCTGAATGCAAGATGTTTATGGAAGACAATTGTGATGTGTGTGTATATATGAGCTTGTTCAAAAGCAGTATAATTTTTTTTGTAATTGTGAAAGAATACTGTGGAAAAACATAGAGCTGTATAGTATATTCTCTGCGTATTTTTATTCAGTTAAAGTGAAAACCAAAAAGAGAGAATAGTTGCATTACCAAATTCTACAGTGGTAGTTTACTTGACAAAGTAGTAATTGTGTATACACCACTTAAAGATATTTTTAAGTATATTTATTGGTTGTAAAGTATATTACTAGGCCCGTTTTCCTTTTAATATTTCAAATGTCAGAATTTCTAGAAAGATTTATCATTTGAAGTAATATCTTAAAACAGTGGTGGGAAAAATGATTTCTTAAACGTTTTTATATTTTGTTTTTTAATTTTGTAAAAACATCTTAGTCATTTGTTACAATTAGTTTTGTTGGGATCTTGTTTTTTGACAGAACACATTATTCTGGATTATTTCAAACAGGTGCATCGCTAGTGCCCTTGTTATTATTTCAATTGGAGGATATGTTCAAAGAGAGAGATCGATCCTGTTTTTAATTGGTTGTCAGGATAGAAATGCCTTTGGATAATGAAGTCATGCAGTTTGAAGCAGAAAGTGAACTTTTAAGTAATTCCTTGCAAATTACTTAAAACCTTTGCTAGAAAAAACTATTAGCACCTTGTAGCCCTTACTTTCATTAACTTCTCAAATAAAAAGTTGGGTTACCTGAATATGTTCAATATTTTGTTTTTTAAGCAAAATAATTATATTTCTTTCTAGTTAAAAAAAACTATTTGGACCACATTTACATATAAGTAAACATTTAGTGGGAGACATAGCTGAGAATATTCATTCAATTGATAAGAATCAGGCTAAAAATTAATCCAAAATGGTTTTGGGCTTTGTTTGTTTTTTGCTTCTCCCTATTGTAAACTCTATTCCTAAAGTTTATATCAGAAGATTTGGGGTCATTGACATTTCTTTTAAAAAAGTCAAATTAAATTGACATGTGAGTAGGGATTTTTTTTTAAAAAAGTGTACTTCTGTGCAAGTGTTTGTCCTACTCTTTGTCTGCAATGTTTTAGGTACCTTCACCAAGCATCTGTGCAAAATCCATCTAGTCTGTCAGCTTGTTGTTAAAGCTTGGGGCTTTCCAGCAATGTCACATTCACGACATTATTTTCAGCTAACATGGGAATAATCAGGAGTAGACATAAATATATTAAAATCAGTCTAAGGTTGATGAAATTGTGTTTCATTCTTTCACTTTATATGAACTGATTAGATTGAAAAAATTAATTGTACTTTTCTTTTACCTTTTATGTGCAGAAATTAAAGGGAATTTAGCAATTGAATCTTAAGCTTATTGTATAATTTACTACCTGATACAGTGAAGTGTTTACAAAACTGGGTACATACACATAGGGCAAAAACACATCGGTTTTGGAGTATGTAGTTGCAAAGGAAAGTATGTTGGTAAAACAGAAGCTTGCTGCAGCATGTACATAAAGCAGAGTAAATTGCATCTATCACATGTACTGTACAAACTTAATTCCAGCACAGAAGTAATAGCCTTGGTTTTTAGCCTTACGATATATGCTATGACCTGGGACAGTAGCTTTTTGCATTTCTTTCCAATAGGTATTCTAACCATCACTTTTACTGATAGATCATGATTATAACAATGAGCTGCTTACTACCTAACACATTAGAAACACTTTAGGATGATTGAAAGATGGGTTTACTAAAAGATGGGGCATTTGCATATTTCAGCAAAAGATTTTTCAAACCTGAACTATCCCAGTCAGGTTACCTGCAATTTATTCATTATAGTTGTCAGAAACATGTGTTATATATTCCAAACAGTGTTGTCCTATCAAAATTCTACGATCCTTCAAAAACTGTGGATATTGAATATATGTAATGCAGTGCTACCGCAACATTTTCAAATAAAGGAATTAAGCATTCCTGTGTATTTATTTTGAACTTTTTTCCTCCTCTCCCTATATATTTCAACATCTCCACAAAATCCCACATTCTGCCTTGTTTCTTCCAAGACGTGGATTGAGGGTGTGTTTTGTGGATGTAAGTTGCAAGGAATGTGAGAGTTGGGGGTGGGACAGTTTTTTCCCCATAACATATTGACTGTTCAGCAATGCAGTGATGAATTTTGGGGGATCCAGGGGAACCTTTATGCTCCAGGCTGCAGTGAGGTGGTGTACTGCTTGTGTGGCTTCCCTCTGGCAGAATTGCCAGCCTGTGTGCAGGTGAATGTGACTTCAATTTGATATTGGTAATTGATAATAAAAGGGGTGCTAGTCAATATAAGGTCTATATGTGTGTTTGAAGCATATGAATTACATCACAGTTAGATTTGGTGACCTGTAGGTACACCTATGTACAATTTAGGATTTTACAAACTACAGGTAGTCCTCGACTTACAGCAGTTCTTTTAGTTACCGTACAAAGTTACAATGACACGGAAAAAGGTGACTTGCACCTTATTTTTCAGTTACCTTTCCAGCATCCCCATGATCATGTGATCAAAATTCAGATGCTTGGCAACTGGTTCATATTTCTGTCCCAAGGTCATGTGATCATTTTTTGCAACCTGAGAAGCAAAGTCAATGGGGAAGCCAGATTCACTTAACAACCGGGTTACTAACTTATCAACTGCAGTGATTCACTTAACAATTGAGGCAAGAAACATCATAAAATGGGGCAAAATTCACTTAACAAATGTCTCACTTAACAACAGAAATGTTGGGCTGAACTGTGAGTTGTTCCCAAAGTTGAGGACTGCCTGGATAGCTATCTCTTTCCTTGACTCTTGATATCCTATCTAGTTTATCAAATCTAGTCTGAACGCAATAATGATGGATTAATTTGAGGATGTTGACTGGCTGATAAATATGCTAAGAAAATGCGGTTTGCAAGATAAGCCCACTTCTCTCATGTCAAAGTCACCAGGATGTAGATGCTTACCAATGATGATCAAGGCTAACATGGTCCCTTGACATAGCAAGACATTCTACACTCTTATCTTTCTTCTTGAAGCAAAAGTGAGAAAAAAAACCATTCATATCTTGGACTGGAGAGAATGTAAAGCCAGAGGATTCAACAGAACTCGGACTGCAAGCTCACAGTGTTCAGCTATTTCTGTACATCATAAACGAAGACAGGTGATTCCTGGAATTCCCTCTCCAACTGTTTATCCTTTTCATACTGTTCAATGTCTTTAAATATATCTAACCTCGCAAATTTGAACCCTGGAATATTGACTAATCCAGATACAAGCATTTGTAGATCAGAGCTCCTTTCATTAGCTGTGGACACATCTGCCCAATGAAAGTAAAACACCACAAGCATCTTTTTAGTGGTACTTGAAGTGCTTGATTGCTTTTGCAGCGGCTGGACCAGGTATCAAAATATAAATCCGGGTCAGGAAGTTGAGGGCAGAAGAATTGTTAACTGTTCCAGTGCACGTGGGAAATAAAGATGAAACCCTTCTTTCCTCCTTCCTTCCTTCCCCAAAATCAATGGACTTGGGAAAGAATGACATCTGGGGAGAGGGAAACGAAAGGGAAGATTCTGATTCTGAGCAGTTCCGTTAAAGTAAAACCAGCAGCCGAAGCGTTTTCTCCAATTCAGCAAAACTGGGGATTTTGATCGCCGCCTAGGTTCGCAGGTCCAATCAAGCGCCGCCTCTTTGCCTTCCCTCCATAGGCCGGCGAGACTTACCGCGATGACAAAGGGCGGAGGCAGGGAACTGAGTTTGCCGCTGACCGGCCGAGGGCTCTGCTTAACCCTCCCACTTTTCCCGGGTCGCTGACCGAGCGGGTGGCCTGCTCGAAATAAGGGCCTAGATGGCCGGGGAGCAAGGAGGAAGCTCGGGCTCGTCTCCCGCCGCGACGCCAATAGCCGGTTCCGGGTTGGCGGGAGAAGAGGACGGCGGCTATGACAGCAAGTGCATTTTCTGCCGAATCACTCACGGGGAGGAGACGGGCACCGAGCTGCTGCCTTGCGAGGTGAGGAGAACCGGCAGCCCTCCGAGGAGGTGCCGCAACCCCACCCCCCTTGAACCAGGCGCAGCCTCCTAATCCGTAGCTGACCTGGGGATTCAGAGGACGAATGGTTTGGGCACCGGCTGTCTTTGGACCGCTTAGGTTACCTCGCGTTGAGGAGGGGCGGTGAGGAAGGCGCTGGTGCCGGCGGCTCTTCTCGGAAGGCAGGAACCCCACCCAGGAGAAGCAACCGACGGGGACATCCTGATCTCCCCTCCTGTTGCCTTGCCACAGAAGTGGAGACCAGGCAAAGGAGAGCGACAGCCCTTCCTCATTAGGAAACCACGGGAAACCCCTCCCTCCCGCTCCCTCCAGCCCAAATAGTCCGCCGGTGGGAAACTTGCTGGAGATCAGACGGCGGTGGTGTCTGTCATCGCCCCCTGGGCTAGACATTGTGATGGGAAATGGAGCATAGCGGAGCTGAAATTTGCTGATTGCAGTTGTGGGCATTGGCAGAGCGGCTGGATCGTTTTAAAGGAGACTGGAGAGGGGGGAGGGGTCAAAGATCCATGCTACTGCATGGATGGCCTGACCACAGGCAGCATGCCTTAAATACTAAGTGGTGGGAAAGGCAGAAGTGGGTTGCTGCCTTCCAGCCCATGCATCTGGAAGCATCCCAAATGCATCCTAATGACTACAAAATATTGAAATAGGCCTGTGGCCTGAACCTGATCCATTTGGAATCTTTCAATGCACTTCTGTTCTGCCCGCTGGCCCACCTTCCTGCTCTCTCTTGTTGGATAGTGCAGCAATTACAGGAGTAGTCATAGAAAACATACCAGTTTAACACTTTCTTGGGCAGAGGGTATGGGAAGTGGTTTGCCATTGTTTGCTTCCCAGGGCTGAGGGAGAATGATTGGTTCAAGTGTCCCAGCTGACTTTGTGCATAAAGCAGAAGCTAAAACTGAGCCTAGATGTGAATTTTGGAGATTTATAAAGATATGTTGTTTCAATCTCAACAAAGTTACACAAATGAGCGGGATGTTTATAACAGTGTAGTGTGGAAGCACCTATACTAGGTCCTATAGCATCTCTCAACTCTAAACAATAGTCCAGATTCAGTGGTGGATTTATATTTCATGACTACAGTAGACACTAAATTTTATATTTCATGACCACAGTATATACTCACGCATGCACGTATCGGTATGTACGTGTGTGTGTGTGTGTATACACATATACAGAGAGAGATTAAGAGCATTGAATAATGCTAGGACTTATTTATATTTACAGTTTCACACTATGTGGACTTATTTATATTTACAGTTTCACACTATGTGGCATATCTGGTAGTTTAATATCCTCAAAAAGGTGAAATTTAGGAGTGAAAACATGATTCATTTGTGCTAACAAATTTCTGCCTCTGACTGTCTTGTCATCTCTTCCTGTTTTGACATTAGCTGACCTGCAACTTAGGAATGTGTTGTCCTCATTTCCTTACATTTCTTAATGCAGCCATCTGTCACTGATTTTGACTTGTGCATTTTTTTGCCTGTCTGCTGATCTAGGGTGAATGGATATTAATAATTAAGCCTGATGTGGGGATGCTATTGAACTATGTCATGATGCAGTTCAAAATATAAGCATCTATCAGAATCTTTGGTGCTCTGAGCTTGATGATTTGCAGAAGATTCATTACCTAAGTAGGTAGAATCATTAGTTACTCCTTAGAAGGAGGAAATTACATCTTCACTCAAACTTGCAGGACAATCTACTGCATATAAGCAGGTAGCAAATCCCACAATTACCTGCACTGATACTATTACCTAGTTGGGTAATTCATTTCAACTCTGAGCTACAAATATTATCTTCTTCTATTGCCCTTTAGAAGTTGTCAGTTGAATGCTATTGATATACTTTAATCTATAAAATAGCTGTATCCAAATGGGAGTGCCAGTGCTGTGCTGAAACCCTACCTTCGGTTTGGCTGCGAATCAATTTAAGGGGAAATTCACAAATATAGAATATAGAATATCACAAATGGGAAATAAGACAAAGTATATATTTGATCGACATTTGCATTTTCTCGGGAGGAATGATATTTCCAGTAGCTGTTTCTTTCACGACTTGCAGTTTGTCAGCAAGGCAATTTCGATAACACAATCTTTTTTCAAATATTCCATTAGTATGAAGATTTGGTATGCTTCCGAGATATCAGACCAGGAGCGCCTCATCATTATTTAGTGGTACCAAAAAACCACATTGGAAATTGCAAGACTCTTAAGAGTGAGCATATACCATTATGTAAGTGGAAAATCTCTTAATATTGGCATGGAGCAAGGAGAAAATCTATACAGTAGCTAAAAGTCAACATTGAATTGACAGTACATAATCAATCTAAAACTCTAATTATTAGGATATAGCTCTCCACTTACAGTATATGAGTGGGCTAAGAGCAAGATTAAATCTCAGTATCAGAGAACTCAAAGCTGAATATGTTACCAAATATTAACAATTATCCATTGTAATTGTTAACCAAGAGTACCCGCACCATCCCCATTGTGGTGTGGTTGTGTGGTGAAATGTAGTCTGGATTCCCAAGGAGGCAGGGGCTGCATTCTAGAGGTAGCAAAGCGTGGAAAGTTTGGTCAGGAGAAAAATAATTAAAACAGCTGCTCCCTAGTGATTCCCCCATCCATAGTGATGCAAACAATTGCTTAGTTTGGCAAGATTTCTGTCTGTAGATGAGGAACAATAAAGGAATTAATCAGAAATAACTCCGTGTGTTTCTTAGTTCTGGGAGCCTGACAGCTTTAGAAATTGAGGAGAATATTGCAAACATGTCTTTGGAAGACGGAAACATATTTGAACAGATGGCAGCATATGGTAGCTTCCCTCAGAATTGCTGCCATGAGGTAATGGAAATCACAAATTATTCATTTATTAGGAGAGAAAATGATTTTTCTAGATATTCTAGATATATTCTAGATATTATAAAATGATTTTTCTAGATATTCTAAAATGATTTCTCTAGACACAATAGGTACTATTTTGAGGCCCAAAAGTATCTGTGTAAATAAATTGGCAAGTACTTTGCAGAACGCCATCTTTTTACTCAATTTTTGAATTAGATTCATCTTTTAAAAATACACACAAAGTGAGACGGGGTAAGAACCCTGGTGGAGTCTGATGTGAGTCACCATATGCCCATTTTCTCTGCAAGATCAGTCTGAGCTCACACATGTTAATAAATTATGTTGTGTTGAATAATATATGGGTGCATGTATGTTTTTAAAAGTATGGCATCTTTTCCCCCTAGATACTCACATTTAAGCATGCTTCCTACCCTTCCTGCAAGGATAAATTAATGCTGCTCCTGCACTTTTTCTGTGCCTCATTAAAAATACACTTTGTTCCACACTCCAATCTGCTTTTATTCTGCTTAATTGGGTTTCATTATTCTTTTGTTTCTTTTCATAATAATTGCATATTGATATGAATAGTTTCATTTAAACTTTTATAATATTGGTGTTTTTTAATTAATAATTTATCCATTTTAATGAAGGTTGATTAATGTATATTATAATTAATATATAAACAAATTCATTTGTGAAATGTTAAAACATAACTCAGTCATTTTAGGTATCCTCAGAATGCGGAGGGAGGGGAATATTTAAAAATAATTTCCAGAGAAGTTAAACAGGAGTTAGCAATACGTATCTGTAGCACTGTGTGGCTGAACTTCAGAAATCTAATTTTCCTCCTTTTCTCTGTCCTATTTTGACAGTGGAAAGAATGATAGCAGTTGGAAAAGCTATCCTTCAGTGGAGTAAATGTGCTGACTTGAACGATATAAGGTATATTTTTAGAAAGAAAAAATATATTATGCTGTGCTATTACATAAATGACAAGATAAACATACAAGTAATCATCATTTTACAACTGTAATGGAGCCTGCCCATTGTAAGTTATGATGGTCACAAACCAGATCAGTTTTGTAAGCATCCTGATTTTGTGACCTTTTTTATGTGAACAGGGTGGTTGTAAAGTGGCCGCTGTGGTTATTAAGCAAACCCATTATTTGCTATTGTGTGATTTTGCCAAAAACCAGGCACTGGATTTCAACAAAACCATTATAAAATGCAATTACATGACCAGGCTAAAAACATGGTTGTGTTGCTGAGCAGCCAGTTTGGTCAAGTGAACTTCGAATCTGGTTGTAGATACATCATAACTTACCGGTCATAGGTTGAGACTCCCTGTATGCTGTATGATTGCATTATAGGAATTACTATTGGAGCTAAAAGTCTGACTGATTCTCAGACATTCAGGTCATGGTTGTCCCAAAGATGCTCTTTCAGGAGGCAACTGGACTTCATTGTTTTTTCTTTCGAAGATGTTTCGCTTCTCATCCAAGAAGCTTTTTCAGTTCTGACAGGATAGTGGGGAATGGAAGGATGTATATTCCTTTCAGACAGCTGGTAATGTGCATCTTTTTAGAGCAGGGGTGTTAAATTCAAGCTCTGCCGGTGGATCCGCCCTGGGGGGGGGTGCTTAGATCTGCCCCACAGGGCCGCCCTGGAAACAGTGAAGAACTAGCCTGCTGTGCCTCTGCCAGTGAAAATGGAGCTTGGGAGGGCTGCACAAGCACTCAGGCCATGACAGGTGCCCCGACCCAAGTGACATCGAGCTGCCCACATCCCCCTGGCCACGCCCCCAGAGGTCAAACACAACCCTGATGCGGCCCGCAATGAAAATGAGTTTGACACCTGTTTTAGACGGTTTTGAAGCACAGGTAAACCTCCAAGTGCTTCAATGACCCTCTAAAAGGATGCAGATTACCAGCTGTCTGCAAGGAATATAAATCCTTCCATTCCCTGCTATCCTGTCAGAGCTGTAGAAACGTCTTGGATGAGAAGCGAAACGTCTTCAAAAGAAAAAATAAAGTCCAATTGTCTCCTGAACAAGCACCAACTACTACTGGAGCTCCAATGGATTTGGTATTGGGGGAGAACGGACATGATAATCCAGTTTACAAAAGGCAAATGTATATTTTTAGGCACTTTCAAAAACCTTGCTTGAAAGTTTAATTAAAAACATTTTATGAGACAAGCTAGCAGTAATTAAGTATCTTATCCCAGAAATCAAGTGCACTAAGACAGCAACTTTTATGGATTTGTGTTTAAGTATCTGCCATATAGTCATGGGAACTCATGAAGTACAAAAGGAAAAAGACAGTTCTAACTCCTCTTCTGTATCCGCCATGGAAACCAATAGAGGAATCAAATAAAGGATGCTCTTTTCTGCTTGCCGAATGCATCAGGGTGCCCCTAGTGTTCTTGCTAAATTGCAATCTTGTCTTCACTGACTTTTGGTCAGTAAAAACAAACATTAGCGTTCCAGTGTAATTCCAAGTGAAAAGAAATTGAGCAATTATTAGAATGAATAATATCCGTAAGTGCTGTTTGACTATAAAACGTTTGGAAAGAACTAGTTTGTTGCCTGGAATAAGCTAAACAATTTAGCTTTTGTGGAAAACATGAGGGACTGCATGGAATTTCCTACCGATTCTGTCAAGTTGCTGCAAAGATTCAAATCTTTACGATTTGCCTTGATACTGGACCCTTGTTTTATGCATCTGAATAGTTACTGCCATATCTGTTTTTCTAGGATGGGCTTTCACTGGCCTCCCTTCTGCTCCATAGCTCACTTGCACCTTCATGTCTTGGCTCCAGCTAGTCAGCTGGGATTCTTATCCCGGATGATATACCGAATCAATTCCTATTGGTTTATCACAGTAAGTTATTTCACCATTAATTCAGTGTCAGCTCCTCCTTCCCCAGTGCTATTCTTGATTTATACTCCTTAGGAATATTGTAAATTTATCCTATTCTTGTATCTTGTAGGGCTGTGCATTATTTTGAAAGGGAAGATGTATTTTGAAGTGCAGGTGTTAATGTAGCCCCTGTCTTTAAAGCAGCTATACCTTTTCTTGAGGTAACAAGATTACTGTCCATAGTTGCAAACTGATCCTGCAGAAAAGAGCTGCTGACAAGTGCAACATGTGCATTAGGAAGCACCTTCTTCAATTCAAACACACTAGACCCCCCACTAATTATAATTCCATTTGACTTAGTACTTCCATTGAATTACATCTCAAGTATCCCTATTAGTTTATCAATAGCTATTTTATAATTGCTTCTATTAACCAGCATAATCGAACCTGTTCATGGATTAAGTCATTTGGAGAAAACTTTTAATAGCCACTAATCTGGACAAAAAATGGTCTGTTGCATCTAAGACTGAGAAATTACTGAATTTGGTACTGAAATTATCCCCATCCTTCTTTTAGAGCCTGTTTTCATTATAACTGAGAAAGTGTCAGAATACACCTGACTCCATGAGGTTAAGCCAGGGTGTTCAATAACATATTCTTAATTTATATTTAGGGGGTGCGATGGCTTAGTGGTTAAAGACACTGAGTTTGTTAGCTGGAAAGCTGACAGCCCAGGTTTAAGACACAATTGCTGTGAACTCCTGTTACTTTCCCCAGCTTCTGCCCATCTAAGTAGTTCAAAAACATGCAAATGCAAGTAGATAAATAGGTACCACCTTGGTGGGAAGGTAACAGCGTTCCATGTGCCTTGACAAATATGTTGGTCACATGACCACAGAAATGTCTTCCCTTAGCTAAGAAAGGGAAATGAGTACAGCTTCCTAGTTGAACATGACTGGACATGTTTACATTTAATTTACATTTAATTATTATATTATAGTCAAATATGTTACAGACCTAGCAGTAAACAAAGATATGAATTATTAACAAATAGCTAAAGTTTTACATTAAAAATAAATCTTAAATGGTTTAATGCAGCATGCTAAAAATGTATCCAGAGTAATGGGGAGCAATCTATTTGACTGATTTAGGGCGTAAGGACAATTTTTTAAATTCATATTGCAAAGTGCTAAATTATTTCTCCTAAGCTATTGTGAGATTTTGAGAACTAAAAGCTTTTAGTTCATTTCAATAGGAGTAAATCAAGCATGAGAGTCACTTTGGTATAATGGTTAAGGCACCAGGCTAGAAACTAGGAGACTGGGAGTTCTAGTCCCACCTTAGGCACAAAGCTTCCTGGGTCGCCTTGAACCAGTCACTCTCTCAGTCCTAGGAAGTAGGCATTGGAAAACCACTTCTGAAGAACCCTTTCAGGAAAACTGTAGGAAGTTGCCCAGGCAGTCTCTGAAAATTGGACATGATTGAACAGAAGGGGAAAAAAGGCACATGATAACTTAGTTCAAAAACTGGGAGGAAGAAGCATGTTCTTTTGGATCCATACAAGTTTCCATAAAAAAAAAAGAACAAAAACTTTCATTTGCAAAATGCTTTTGATTCAGTAGAACGTTTTCATCAGTGAATTAGGGAAAATGTAATCTTCTCTGTATAGACAGATGCCTATCTAGGGGAACATAGAAAATGACTTCAGGCAATGGAGAGAACTGTGTAATCAGCTATATTTTTGGTAGCAAGGGAAGCAGAAATACGCATTGTGTGCTTCCAATAACTGTACTACATTCTAGCTTTAACCCTTTTATTCATACTATTGGAGCTCATACTATTTCTCATCTACCCTAGAAACTGAAACAAATTCCTAATTTAAATTAAGCCAAGTTCTTTCAAAGAAAGATGATGATGCGTGAAGTCTATAACCTGATTACCCTTAACAAGGGTAATAAAGTAATACATGTGGAATACATTATCCAGGCTCTTGAAAAATTCCAAAGTTAAATGTTTTTTAAGACAACATTTGCAAGGTCACCAACCCTTTATATTTTCCAAAAGATTCAGTAATCTCATAAGGATCCCTTGACTAACTAAAAGAGAAGACAAGCTGAAAAGGGTTATGATCCATGCCCTAAAGTGCCCAGCAGCTTGTATATATATGTTGCTTCATCCACTGGGTAGGAATCCGGATTAAGCCCAGTGGGTGCTGCTTAATTATATGAATTAGTTCATTCCTGGTTGTCTCAATAGATTTTCTGCTTTGTAAATGTGTTTGGGAACAATCTTCTATTCTTCAACACAATACTGTATAATTTCTGGAAAGTGCTAATAAGCCATGTATGTTTCCTCTTGAACAGGCTGAGCAGCTGATGGAACGGCTGAAAGCTGAAAGCACTACAAGTTGAGGGAAACCTGCCTCTGAACTGTACCATCTTTCTGACCTTTGAATACCGATTAAAGGATTGGATGTAGTTGATAACAGGCTAGACTTTTTAAAACAACTACTGAATTTGCTGCTATATAGTGTTTGAACTAGTTGTTAGTAAACACTCTACATTAAATTTCTCAGGCAAATATCTGAATGCAAGAACGTATAAGATCACAAATACCTATCTGTTCAAATGCAAAGAATCCTTGAAACATGAGATGCCATTAAAATTTAATAACTGTACCTGACTTTGACTGTTTTTGTCTTAATGCAAGGTTTGTGCCTATAAAATACATTCCTGATCTTTTTAGTATTGTCTTGGTGCTATATTCTATCACTCCAAGTGTACATGATTACAGGCACAGAATGGCTAACAAGCCATTGTCCGGAGTATGACTTGCTTACTCTGTACTTTCAATGTAAGACTTTAGTTGGTACATTGAATTTAGAATATGTACTTGAATGTGAACAGTTTTAAATAATGTTAGTATTTAAATGCATGTATTAAGGTAGTTAGGGAGTAATAAAACATTATAAAATTATGCAATAGTTTGTTTGGACTTAGGGTCTAGCATAAAATATCAAATTATTTAATGTGGATAATTGGATTAACATTTGTTTGTCAAGGATGCAGAAATCGTAGATTCTCTTGAATCTAGCATGGAATGACTTTCACATGTTTACTTTTTAAACTATATAGGCAGGTATTCACACAGATCTGTTACAGCAAAATGATTTTAAGCAAGCACTGATATTGTGTGTTTTAAAAGCATGCAGTAGACTAGTATTCAGAGAATGCCAAAAGTAAACCATGTTGTTTTTTATGGCTTTAAAACCTGTTTTATTTATTCAAAACTTAGCATGCATTTATTTCAATATGACTCCTAACTGCTTGTAAAAGTTATTAAAAATATTTATTCAATTTATTGTCAGGGATGATGGATAAACATGTTTAATCATGTTCAAATGTTAATGTGCTAAAATAAAAAGAGACTGCTCTGATAATTTATGTGATGGAACTGTGAAACATATAACTTAATATGTTATGAAAAGGAAACCTTTAATAAAATTGTTACTCATAGATCTGTTGAATATTTTTGGATACAGCTGAATTTAAAAATATTGACTTATATGTGTTATTAGATTTCTTGAAAAAAAACCTAATCCATTTTGTTTAACACCAGGATCATAATCATACCGGTATTTGTTATCTGAATGCTAGTTTACTACTAAAGAAAAGACTTGTATTCAGCATATACATTTCAGGCTACCAGCTCTTAAATAGCAATAGCAATAGCAATAGCAGTAGACTTATATACCGCTTCATAGGCCTTTCAGGCCTCTCTAAGCGGTTTACAGAGAGTCAGCATA